TTCCCAGCTTTAGTTTCCTAACTGTAGTGATAGGATTCTTTGTTGCTCGGTCCCCAAAGCCTTATTACTTACTTTATGCATTGGCTTTAATTGGGTACACAACGGATGCCTCTGCCCCCTGCAGGCAGGCCCAAGTAGGACTACTAGAGGCCTTGCTTTGTCATTGTAAAGCAGAAGTTTTGGAACCAAAGGCCACTCACTGGCTTTGCTTGTTTACAGACTCCCCCTTGGGGCAAGTGCCCTAGCTGGCTCTGGGGAGCTGGGCAAGGAGGAGGGCACAGCCCACACTCTTCCTCGCCTTTCTAAACCAAAGTTCTTTGCCATTCCTACCAGCCCAGCCTTGCTGCTGGATTTTTTCCTTTTCTTTGGGTATTTGCACTATTTGGGAGCCATTTTTTTGTACAGGGGGTAAGTTGGGGTTTTTCAGGGAGCCCTATTTGGTGCCTCCTCCCTTATTTTCTTTCCTCAATCTATGCAAGCGGCTCTGGCCGCCATCATCTCCTGGGATGCCAGAGGGCCACCACCCAGCTCTTGGGCCCAGGGCTGTAAAGCCTCCTAGAGGAAGGGGACAGGGGACGCTCAGGTGCTCTGGCATGGCCTGAGGTATGGGTGTACGAGCTTGGCGGAGGGCAGGGGGAGGTGGAGAAGAACTCATTGCCATTTGGAGGGTGGGCCTAGGGCTTTAGAAAGTGCCACTTCTGGCAGGTTTGGAAATTTCCAAATAAATCTTTGTTTATTGGTGGTACCTAGACCTGGTTATTGAACAGTGCAGCCACTCACAGCCACTCATTAACCAACTGAGTCCTAAAGGGCTTGTCCTGCAGAGCTTTATTTGAGGGATCCACACAAACAGCATCCACCTCACTTCCATAGCTTCTTGATAGACATGTTTTTCTCACTATCCTTCTGCATGACCTGCAGAGAGAGAAAACATTCAGTTCCAAAGTGAGTGAACACAGGCCCTATCCCCAATGCTCTAGAGCCACCATCAGCAAAGGCAAAGAAGATGTAGACCTATACCTTGGCTACTGCCATTTCAAAGTCCTCCTGGGTGACGTGGACTCGCCGTTCCCGCAGGGCATACATGCCAGCTTCGGTGCACACACCCTGAGAAGGCAAAGGACGACCGGATGTTGCTGGGCTCTTGAACCCACAGCTTCCTGCCTCTGCCCCCTTCCTTCTCCTTGTGCACCCCAATTACCTTCACTTCAGCCCCTGATGCTCCTGGCATGAGCTCAGCAATTTTTCTTAGGTTGATCCCCCGGGTCAGGTTCATTTTCCGAGAATGGATCTTCAGAATGTCCAGCCGGGCCTAGAGGGTGAGAGGAAAGGACTGAGCCCTGCTGCCAACACCCATAGCCAGAGCCACCCCAGCACTGCCCATACACACCTCCTCGTTAGGGGGTGGGAATTCAATTTTTCTGTCGATGCGTCCGGGGCGAAGCAAAGCTGAGTCCAAGATATCAATCCTGTTAGTAGCCATGATCACCTGAGTGCAGAAGGGGCATGGCATCAGCTAAGCCCCTCCCCAGGCTGCACCTTGGCCAGGGCCAACACGTTACCTTGATGTTTTTGGTCGCCTCAAAGCCATCCAGCTGGTTGAGCAGCTCCAGCATGGTGCGCTGCACCTCACTGTCGCCTCCAGAACCCCCCTCCAGCCGCGAGGAGCCAATGGAGTCGATTTCGTCCATGAAGATGATAGATGGGGCATGTTCCCGGGCCATGACAAACAGCTCCCTCACCATCCTTGCCCCTGCGCAGAGGCCAAGCTGGCATTAAAGAAGCTGCTGAGCTCCTTACCCCCACTTCCGCCCCATACTTCTGTTTGGTTTTCATGTTTCTAGCCACAATTACCTTCCCCAATGAATTTCTGTACCAACTCAGAGCCAGAGACACGGATAAAAGTACAGTCAGTATGATGAGCGACAGCCCGGGCCAATAGTGTCTTGCCAGTGCCAGGGGGTCCATACAGCAGCACTCCCTAGAAAGAAATAGTAGGACTCAGGGCAGAAAGCCAGCCCCGTATGTCATTCAATGAATCTTCACTGAGCATGTACTCTGCACCAGATCCCTAACTAGATGCTTAGAGAGATATAAGGATGAATGTCAAGGTCCCTTCTAGAACATACATTCAAACTGCCTCAGTGACCTGGTAGCACCTCTCCCCCAAGCCCTCTTCAGCAGGGAGGGCCAGCTTGTACCTCCCCAATCCCTGCACTGAGTTTGGCCTAGGACAGATGTAGTTAACAGTATGACACTCCCCTAGAGGCCCTGCTTCTTACCTTGGGCTGTGCAATGCCCAGCGCTTCAAAGAGCTCAGGATGCTTAACAGGCAGCTCAATGACTTCCTTGATCTCCTTGATCTGCTTGTCCAGTCCACCAATCATCTCATAAGTTGAATCTGGCACCTTCTCCACCATCATCAGTGATACCAGTGGGTCTACCTTGTTGGGCAGGATCTTGTGCAGAGTGTAGCTGTCATTTCTCAGAGCCACCCGGCAGTTTGGTGTCACCTAGGGGAGGGGGGAGACTTTCAGGAGGCTGTATGATGAGAACTGACCCTGACCTCCCCCCTCACCTGCTGCACTCACATCATTGATGTCGATGTTCTTGTCCACATCTACAACAAACTTGCCCTCAGGATGCACCTAAAGAAACAGGGCTCATGACCTTTCCTGACAGCCACCAAATCACCAACCTCACTCAGGAAGACCCACAAATCCTAGAATAACGTGAACAATGTGCTCACAAGGCTACACACCAAGGTATGGGAAGGTAGGGATGGCCCCTGGGGTCATGCTGCCTTTACCTTAACCAACACTTTCTTCTTATCCATGGCCCGGACTACTTCCCCTACATAGGAACCCTGTTCCTGCAGCAGCTGCAGCTCCTCCCGTAACAGGCGAACTAGATGGGAAACAGACAAAAGGGTCACCCAGATGGCTTTGGTGTGCTCTCCCCCAACTCAATTCTGTGTTCATGTGAACTAACCACCACTTTGAAGTTTTGAAGGAATAGCCACAAAAAGAAAATAAAAGTTCATGTCTTCTTTAAGGGGGTTACAATGGGGAGCTTGGCAGAGAGATGTGCACGTGAACATCACCTTGGATGAAGAAAACAACAGCACCAATGTGAAGACTCAACTCAGGGAGATCTGAACAGTCAGACCTCAGACTAACTGCCCACATGCACCCTTGCCTCCCCCCCCCCCTCACCTTTTGCATTAAGCTCATTCCTCTGTGCCTGCAGCCTCCGAAGATTTTGGCTTTTATCATTCACAATCAGCTGTGGAAGACAAGACATTTCAAAGGGCAGAAACCAGTAGGATGTTAAGAAACTGGCTGAGACCCTCAGGCTGGTATGAATGCAGTGAGGGGAGAGCACAGGCACCTGCATGTTTCACATTCTCCACTATGATCCTGATGACCCTGGCCTGTCCTTCAGTCCCTTGGAGCCTAGGGCAGCCATCAAAAAAGGCTACTTGTCTAACACTGGTCTAGGAATAACAAACCCCAACGGGGATGTTACAGCAGGCTCATGTGCTCAATTTCTGGTAGGGCGGCATATCAACTTGTTACAGTGGCAAGATCTTTGGGCCAGAAGCCTAAGTTCTAGCCCTCCTGCTGCCACTTAACAGCTAGGTAAAGCTAAGGGAAGCCATTTAAAAAATCTAGCTCTGTAACCAAACTGCAAGTAGGCATAGCATCACTTACTCCCTGCCTCTTTTCAGGACTGTTGTGACGAACAAATGAAATCACACATGAATCCATTTCAAAAATGATAAACCATATACAATACCTGAAAATGTACCTGGAGTACGGAAATCTTCCCTATGGCTTTCCTCCATCCAACTTATATTAATTATCTCCCTTATTCCTATGGTCCCTGCTCCCTCTTTGGGCTAGAGCATTGGCTCACCCAATTCTTTTTCATTCAGTCCCATGGAATCAGCATTGTTTCTGCCTTCCCTTGCACTCTCACAATGCCTGCGCCCCTGTCTGATAAACCTCATCTCCTGAGCCTGTGTCCTCTATCAGGCTTCTTCCAAAAGGAATGGCCTTTTCTATTTGACTCTTGAAGATGTGTGACAAATGATGATCTCTTCCACTGAGCCCCCAATGGAATTTTGTGGATTTGTAGAAATCTGCTCCATCAATCCTTCACCCCTGCTTCTAGCTCCCTCTGGACCTCAGGCGTCCGTCCTCACCTGGAGTTCTTCAATCTTGGACAGATAATATTGGCGCAGTCCACTGCCTGACTTCCCCTCTTCCAGCTCCATCTAAAGACACAGTGTAATTATTAAAAAACAGGCTGAACAACCGAGGCTGCAAGCCACTTCCAACTTGAACTTTGGAGGTTTAAGATTTGGATTCTAATCCCCTACTGCGGTTCTTCAGAGTCCTCCATTTACCTTAACCAAACTAAAAGCAGAGTCAGAATGCCGCCCACCTCCTAAGACTTGCACAAGGATCAATATTCGACATGCACCGGAGAACGCTGTACAGAGTCAGACGCTAAACGGAGGCAAGGTATTACTACCACAGGCTGAGCCAGCAGAAGAATGAGTTTCCTGTATCCTGCGACTCGCGGACGTGCCCATTCCTGCTCCCAAAGCTCCTCTCACTCGGCTTCCACCGTGTCCTCCCCCGCCGCTGTCCCGACCCACCCAGGCGGCGCTGACACAGCAGATCTGGTCCCAAGCGGGGCCCGGTCTGGATTGGCCCACCCACTCCCGACCTACCCGGCCCTCCAGCCCTGGCCGGCGGTCCACCTCGGATCACGCCTTGCTTCGCATCCAGCCCCAGCCCCTGCCCAGCGGCCGCCGCCTCCTCCATACCTGCTCTGGCCCGTCAACCGCCATCTTCCTTCTGTAGCGGACAACGCCGGTATCCCAGCCGCCTCGGCGCGCAGGCGCAGAAGCAGGGACATGGAGCCGGAAGACCGGGACAAAGAAGAGTTCCGGGTCAATGGGCGGGGTGTCGGTAGAAACAATAATAAATAACTGGGATCCTGAAGGAAGTGGGGGGAGAGCTACGCAAAGTCGGGAACTTTGGAAGTGGTTGATGAAGGCACAGAACTCCTAAATGTTGCTTTTAGACACTCGGTTTCAGTATAATTGTTTTATTCTCTTGGTCATTTCCAACTTACAAAACCCGACAACAGGGTGTAAAGATTTTTCTGTGGCCACGCCCCAAATGACGGAAAACTTGGAACCAGGGACGCAGGCTACGCAGGCGGAAGCGGAAGTACGTTTGCTGCTCCCATGTGCCACTCTTTAGAGTGGTGTAAACGCCGCTGATCGGTGGTGAGTTGCAAGGTGTGTGGTTGCTACTGAAAGCGGAATCTAGTGCTCCGGGAAGAGACCTTCCAATTTCTACTTTCTCCCTAGATTGAGTGACACTTCCCCGTTTCACCATGGGCAAGAAGGGCAAAGTTGGGAAAAGCCGGCGGGACAAGTTCTATCACTTGGCGAAGGAGACCGGTGAGTCAGGGTTCGCACCTTTCGCGAGATAGATGAGCGACTTTGTCGGGTTTGTCCCCCTTTCCGAATATTGAGTTTCGCGGAAGGGGTAGCGGGTTGTGAGGCCGCCGAAATCCCTCTGGGAAAGCACTTTGTGGACTTTTGTTATTTTACCGACGCCCTCAGGTTATCGTTCTCGCTCTGCTTTCAAGTTGATTCAGCTGAATCGCCGCTTTCAATTCCTACAGAAGGCCCGAGCCTTGCTGGACCTGTGTGCTGCGCCAGGGGGATGGTGGGTAACAATTAGCACCTGTCGCTCGGGATGGCGGCTTGCTGGGCTCCATCTGCCCTGGGGTGACTCAGAGTTGCATTAGGGAAGAGGGGGATACAGTACACTAGTTTCAAATTCTCTACTCCCAAAAACATACACTGTAGAGAAGAGGTTTGGCACGTGTACATATGCCATGCTCTGGCCACTGCACTTGCCAGGATTCCTCCTAATAATGGGAGTGATAGATCATATTGCCAAGGGAGGTGAAGGGATAATCCTGGGCATTTTAATCTTTGCTCCTCTTTTATAGGCTGCAGGTGGCTGCCAAGTTTATGCCTGTATCCAGTCTTATTGTGGGTGAGTGACAGGTGGCTCTCCCAGGTGTTTTAGGGGTGGCAGTATAAGGTGTTGTGTTTAAATTTCCTTTTTTCACGCCTGAGGCAAATTTTGCGATACTCTGATTTGATTTCTTCCAGGGGTGGACCTGGTTCCAATCAAGCCTCTTCCCAATGTGGTGACACTCCAGGAGGACATCACAACAGAACGCTGTAGGCAGGTGATAGGAATCTCTCTCTTCCTGTTCTCTTTATATGCAAACTACTACTTCTGTGCCTGTTCTAATCATCCAAATCTTCTAAAGGCAAGATTTTTGTTTGCCATGCCTTGAGCAGTGCCTGCATGACATGTCTGTAAGCCAGGGATATGTCGTGTCAACTCTAGCTGTTTATTTGTTCAGGAATGAGGTGCATAGAATTGGAAGAAGTGCATGGATTTCAGTGAAATCCTTTCCAGTGAGCTCACTAGTGAACTGTAAGCTGTCTGAAGACAGATGTGCTATTTTTGTTGATCATTGTATCCCCTGTGCCAGGCACAGTATTAGGCCCTTGATGGGCACTCAGCAAATGCCTGGGTGGACAAATTGCTCAATCGGGGACTCCATTTGAAGGCATACCTGTATTTCTGCTGCTGTAATCCCTTTCCTCCTTTGTAGGCCTTGAGGAAGGAGCTGAAGACCTGGAAAGTTGATGTTGTGCTCAATGATGGGGCCCCCAATGTTGGGGCTAGCTGGGTCCATGATGCTTATTCACAAGGTGCCAGAGGCATGGGATGAGGCTGGAGGTGGGCCTGTCCTGTCGGGCTGCATATGTCATCAGCCAACTCTCTCTTTCCCACAGCCCACTTGACACTGATGGCTCTGCGTTTGGCTTGTGATTTTCTGGCCCGTGGTGGCTGCTTCATCACAAAGGTTTTCCGTTCCCGTGATTATCAGCCCCTGCTGTGGATCTTCCAGCAGCTATTTCGCCAAGTCCAGGCCACCAAGCCCCAAGCGTCTCGCCATGAATCTGCAGAGATCTTTGTAGTCTGCCAGGGTGGGTTGGCATCACTTCCTTCCTTCTCTTGACTTGGCCAACTACCAAAGCACACTTTCTTATATATCCTATCATCTTAGGATTCCTGGCTCCCGACAAGGTTGACAGTAAATTCTTTGACCCCAAATTTGCCTTCAAGGAGGTTGAAGTGCAGGCCAAGACTGTTACTGAGTTGGTAACTAAGAAAAAACCAAAGGTGTGTTTGAGGAGTGTGGCCATCCTCTCAGATCCTGGAACTCTGGGGAGATTGAGCCTGGTGGGTCCTATTGACACCCCAAAAGGGACTGCTCAACCTTTGATTCCCTCTCTAAGGCTGAAGGCTATGCTGAGGGTGACCTCACTCTGTATCATCGTACCTCAGTCACAGACTTCCTCCGAGCTGCCAACCCTGTTGACTTCCTCTCCAAAGCCAGCGAAGTGAGTCCCCAGACTTGAGAAGGGTGTAGGGGAACCCCAGAAACATGGCCTGAAATTACCCCAACTCCTTTTGCTCTTCCCAGATAGCGCTAGATGATGAAGAGTTGGCACAGCATCCAGCTACCACTGAGGACATACGGGTGTGTTGTCAGGATATCAAAGTGCTGGGGCGCAAGGAGCTTAGGTATGTAGTGGGGGTGGTTGTAGGTGCCAGGAACCCCAAAAGCAGGGAAAAGCTTTTGAAGACCATGATGTTGGTCTCTGGGAACAGGATGCTACTTTGCTAGAGGTTTGGGGTGGGGACCTGAGCCCTAGGATTTATGACTCAAATGTGAAACTAGGGTGTGAGCCTAAAATGGGGGGGGGGGCAGGGACACAGGGAGATGGTAAGGTCAGTAATGGTGTTTGTGGGTCAGGTCCTTACTGAATTGGAGAACTAAACTTCGGCGGTACATGGCAAAGAAGTTGAAAGAGCAAGCAAAAGCACTGGACATCAGGTGAGGGGGGAACTAAGTAAAGCAGGGTAGGTGTTGACTGGGGTTGGGAGAAAATAACTGGGAAATAACCAAACTCCTGGGACTGCTTTGTCAGCCTCAGCTCAGGAGAGGAGGAAGAAGGTGATGAAGAGGAATCAACTGGGAATGTGAGGCAGATCTCTGAGGAGGAGGAAGAGGAGGAACAACTGAACCAGACCCTGGCAGAGATGAAGGCCCAGGAGGTGGCAGAATTAAAGAGGTAAGGGTAGCAGGGTAGGAGCTTGGGGAGTGGGAACAGAGGAAGAGAGTGGAGTAATTGGGATCTTTAGGGCTGGGCAGGTGTTTCGATTCTTTGAACTATTCCCTCAGGAAGAAAAAGAAGCTGCTGCGTGAGCAGAGAAAGCAGCGGGAGCGTGTGGAGCTGAAGATGGATCTTCCTGGGGTTTCCATCGCAGATGAAGGGGAGACTGGCATGTTCTCCCTGCGCACCATCTGCGGTCACCAGGTGAGGCGGGGTTGGCACAGACTGACAAGACAGGAGAATCTGTCTGCATATTTGGAAGGGAGCAGGGATTGAATGTCTTTTGTTTAAGTATGCTGCATGATCATCACTAATGGTTGCTGTGTCCACCCACAAATATATACTGTGAGGAGAAACTGGGGGAAAAAAACCCCAAAACCTCCTGTCTCAGAGGCCTGGAAGGAACATAAACCTAATGCGAAGTTAGTAAAATTTGTAAGTTTGATTGATACAGATTTGTTATTACCAGAACTATAATACGAGAATATTATGTTTGTATAATACATAATATGTAAGGATAAAAAATAACAGAACTTATGTCCTAGGGTTAGGGGAAGGAAGAGAAAGATGTGTGTTGCCTGGGCTCCTTTATTCAATGGAAAAAAATTTGTTAATTCTCAGAAGGTGATGAGGTACCTTCTGAGAATAATTTTTAAAAGAAAAACCAGTGTTCCAGGAAATTTTAAGATTTGATGCTGTAGAGGCTATGGGAACTTTTCCATAACCCTATTTCTCCTGCCACTGAAGATGAGACAGCTGAGCAGGACAAGTGATTCAGCCTAGAATGGGGTGTTTTCGATTGCCCCGCCACTTTCCTGTCTGTAAAAGGCCAAGTGTTTGCCACAGTGTACTTCCTAATGTTGCTGAGGGTAAACCAAGATAATGAACATAGGAAAAAAGCAGTATGTTCTTTTAAGTAACGCTGCTCTCTTTCTCTCCCAAACTTTAGTTGTTAGAGGAGGTAACACACGGGGATATGAGTGCTGCAGACATGTTTCTCTCTGATCTGCCAAGAGATGACATCTATGTATCAGATGTTGAGGATGACGACGAGGCATCTCTGGATAGTGACCTGGATCCAGAGGAGCTAGTAGGAGTCAGAGGAACTCAGAGTCTAAAGGACCAAAAGCGGTTAAGGTGGGGCTGGGGTGCCGGAGGTGCTGCCAGATGGATTGGGTAGGGTGAGGGGACGGTTCTCCAGGGCACTAACCCTCCACCCCCTTTCCTCGGGTCTACAGTGTACGATTTGCTGAAGCAGAAGATAATAAAGAGGAGGAGGAAAAAGAAGAGAATCCACTGCTGGTGCCATTGGAGGAAAAGGTGGTCCTGCAGGAAGAACAAGCCAACCTGTGGTTCTCAAAGGTAAGAAGGGACTGGGGACCAAGATAAGACAGGGATTGGCATTCCCTGGAGAAGGATGGCTTAAGATTTCCCCTATCACAGGATGGCTTCAGTGGGATAGAGGATGATGCTGACGAGGCTCTGGAGATCAGTCAGGCCCAGCTGTTGTATGAGAGCCGTCGAAAGGGGCAGTCACTGCCACCACCACCCTCCAGTTTGAAGACTGAGAGAAAACCTTCCCGGTGCCAGGACGAGGCCCCTAAGGAGGCAGAGGCTCCATCAGGGACAGAGGCTGGCACTGGTGGGGAAGACAGTGACGACAGTTCTGACAGTGATAGCAGCAGTGAGGATGAAGAGAGGTGAGTGGTTGTAGCTGATGGGAGAAGAGATGAGGAAGTGGTGATACTAACCTTTTCTCTTAAATTGGAGGTTTCAGCCTTTGCTATAGATTCTGAGAGCTTTAAAAATAAGGATGATTCAGCCCTGGCTGGTGGGGCTCAGTGGATTGAGTGCCAGCCTTTGAACCAAAGGGTTGCTCGTTTGGTTCCCGGTCGGAGCTCGTGCCTAGGTTGTAGGCCAGGTCCCCAATGGGGGACACATGAGAGGCAGCCACAGATGCTGTTTCTCTTCCTTTAACAAACCTGATGATTCTAATTGAAGTGGTCTGCAGTATAGCCTTTGGCAGGGTTTCTGAAAGTTACCTAGGCAGTCTCAAATAGGAGCCAGGGTTGAGGTGAAGTGGGAGTGGGTGAGTGGTGTGGGGAATGGTGGGCATTCACGCACGGTCCTCCTCTCTTCTGCAGCTGGGAACCACGACATGGTAAGAAGCGAAGCCATGGACCTAAGTCAGATGATGATGGATTCGAGATAGTGCCTATTCAGGACCCAGGTGAGGGTGGGTCTGCGCCCAGTGGAATGGGAGGAGACAGTGGAAGAAGTTTCAGGTTGGGAACTGAGTTTGGCTTTTTGTATTCCTCTCTAGTGAAACATCGGATACTAGACCCTGAAGGCCTTGCTTTAGGTGCTATTATTGCCTCCTCCAAAAAGGCCAAGAGAGACCTCATAGATAACTCCTTCAACCGGTAAGGGGGCCAGAAAATCAGATGAGATGAGAAGTGGCCCAGGATGGGGTGGGTAAGTGGTGGTTTCTTCTCTAGAAAGCCTCGAGTGGTCATTAGAACCGTGTTCTCTCCACCTAGGTATGCATTTAATGAGGATGAGGGGGAGCTTCCAGAGTGGTTTGTGCAGGAGGAGAAGCAGCACAGGATACGACAGTTGCCTATTGACAAGAAAGAGGTGGAGCATTACCGGAAACGCTGGCGGGAAATCAATGCACGTCCCATCAAGAAAGTGGCTGAGGCTAAAGCCAGAAAGAAACGGAGGGTACGTGGTGGGTGAGATGAGGGGTGGGTCAGGCAGGAGTGGGTAAGAAGTCACCCTGACTGAGGGCCTCACACAGATGTTGAAGAAGCTGGAGCAAACCAAGAAGAAGGCAGAAGCTGTGGTGAACACGGTGGACATCTCAGAACGAGAGAAAATGGCACAACTTAGAAGGTGATGGAGGGAGGTCACCCACAAAGGTACAAGGGTTTTAAAGAGTGGCAGAAGGAAGCTTCTAACCTGTTTCTTCCATTTATAGTCTCTACAAGAAGGCTGGGCTTGGTAAGGAGAAACGCCATGTCACCTATGTTGTAGCCAAAAAAGGTGTGGGCCGCAAAGTGCGCCGGCCAGCTGGAGTCAGAGGCCATTTCAAGGTAGTGGACTCAAGGATGAAGAAAGACCAAAGAGCACTGCAACGGAAGGAGCAGAAGAGAAAAAACAAGCGGAAGTGAGCAGAGCCTCCAGGGTCTGAAAAGGCAGTGTGAGGACAAAGAGGAGGGATTCTGTGCCCTTTTCTGCAGCTTCCTTGGTACCAGCCCTGCCCTTGCTTGCATTGCAGTCATCTGAAAAAGACTGTGTGAGGTGGAGCACCTATCACTCCATCTCGGTGATGACCCTGAATGGTGAGGACATCCTCTGCCTCAAGTAAGGGCTCCTGTGAAAGCACCGTTGGTGCCGTACCAGACCCCACAACCCTGTGGGGAAGAATGTGGGGGTACTGGATGAAAAATACCTTTATTATTAAATCATAAGGGGACGCTGAGTGCTCGAGTGGCATTCATTCTAGTCTTCCCCCATGTCATCATCCTCTTCATTATCATTTAAATAAAACCGTGATTATAGGTGTGTTTGCCGACAGTTCCTGTTAAATGCTAACCTTACATGCTGCACTGTTCTAAGTCATATTTAACATGTACTAAGTCATTTAAGTAGAAATGACAATCCACAGGTCCCAGTAGTAAAACATTTACTAGAGCAAGCAGAAAGGAATGCACATCTTAAAGAAACCTTCACAAAGTCACAAAATTCGAAGTATGTGTATTTCTTTTATAAACAAGATAGAACAAAAATGATCAAAATCATTTGAGCAAAAGATTTTCTACCATTGTGGCAAGTTAAAAAAAAATACAGTGAAATAGAGGACAGTTAAAAGCTGCTAGGTTTTTGTGTTTAATTTAGCAATACTTCAGACCTGAAGCAATCCTGTTTTCAGGGTCATCATTCCTCCAACAGTGGCTCTAGGTCAGGTAGGCTGCTGCTGCCCATCTCAGGGCTGGATCAGAAACTGGCTGGGGAACCTGAGAGCACTGACTCCCATTTAGGAATCAGGTACCTCCCTTCCCTGCAAATGTCTGGAAGCACCAGCTTTCCAAACATCCCTAATACCTTAAAGGACTGTGTTTGCAGAAGCCAACTCCTAAAGCAACTGCCTGGCCACATAGCTACAAAAAAGGATGTTTGTAAGATGACAGTAAAAAATATACACTACACATAATACAAACCTAGAGTGAGCTTTGTACCCTATAAGGCCCTTTCTTCCCAAGTATCCTCACCTGACCCTCACAAATCCAGAGCCAAAAAGAAGCTTCCCAGCTCTCATTACTAAGGACCAAAGCAGTTTCCCAAGAAAATAATCTGAAAATCCAGAAGGGGTAATGTCTCCAAGCGCCAGCTATCCACTAAGGGCAGAGGGCCCTTACACCTTGGGCCCCAACCCAGCCCTGAGACACCTAGTTACCAAAAATCTTTCTAAAAATAAAATTAAAGGATTTCACACTTCAGCACATACCATCTAACTGTCCCATCTGCTTTTCTTGCGCTTGGGTGGCTCAGGGACAGCAAAACCATCAGCTGTCTTATCTGTCTTGCTGTCCATCTTGTCCGTCTTGCTGTCCACCTTGGGGTCCACCTTGCTTTCACGGTTACAACCTTCTTTCCTGTTTTCACCATTCCGGCCATCACTTGTACCTCGACTCTCCCCATGTCGGCTTCCACCTCCTCCATGCTTGTTCTCCCCATGACGATGGCTATCGGCATGCCGGCTACTGCTTTCTGGGTAGCGGTATCCATCTCCATATCGACCACCATCTCCATGATGTGGGCTATCGCCATGCTTGCCACTGCCACTCTCTCCATGGCTATGACGGCTGCCACCCCGGTTCTCAGTGTATCTCTCTCTTTTCCCATTGCTACCCCCAATCCCTTCTCGGCTGTTACTCCCTGAAGCTGTGTTGTTGACTCCCTGGGCTCCGGCAGTGGGGTACGTCACTGGGGCACTGCTGAGGTTCCCAGTATTGCCAAAGCCTGGGATGCCCTTGGTGGCACCAGCAGCGGGGCTGTCAGAACTGTTAAGGCCCTGCTGGGCTGAATTAGTTGGAACAGAGTTCAAGCTCCCTGCACTTGTCCATCCACTTGCCCCAGCAGCAGAACTTCCAGCCTTCTGGTTGCTTAAGCTGGCAGCAACGAAGTGACTCTTGTACTGTGACTAAAAGAGAATGAAAATAGGTAAGATAGTTTAAGAAACTTGAATATATAAGCCTGGCACTGATCAAGTATACAGAAACTTAGTATCTTAGATAGTATCCATGATATTTTGGCACTTGAGTATACTGATGGCCCCGCAATCCTGTGGTTTCTGTGCTCCTCTATTAGTGAAGAAAGAATACATCTTGGGACCTAACAAAGATACCAGTCTGGAAATGGGTAAAATGTGCAAATTAAGGCCAACTAGCAAACTGGAGAGTAAGTGTAGAAGAAAGGTTCAGAGTTCACAAGAGATACAGAATCAAACTTGTCTTAGCTAAAAAGGCAATCACTGATAGATGACAACAGCCGTGGAGACAGGCCACACGGTGGGCTGCTCAGGCAGGGAGGGGTCAGCGATCCTGCTGCAGCACAACAGTCACAGGCTCTGGGTGTGCCTGAAGCAGATGACCAGTATGAGGGGTTTCTGCAACCTCTGCAGCTGCATCTGTAGGTCAGCTGCAGTTAAGTTTATATTCAAATGAAAAGCAGTAAGAAGGCCCTAAATATGCTAGGCAGCACTGAGGGCCCCTTGAGACTGCCCAAGTTTGGTGTTTTTTTCCAAGACTATTTTTAGAGAAAGGGAAGGGAGGGAGAAAGAAAGGGAGAGAAACACTGATGTGTGACAGAAACATCGAGAGAAACATCAACGAGTTGCCTTTCCCTTGTCCCCAGCTGGGGACCTGGCCTACAACCCAGGCACGACTCTGACTGGGAATGGAATCAGCAACCTTTCAGTTTGTGGGACAATACCCAACCCACTGAACCACATCAGTCAGAGGAAGACTGCCCAAGAGTCACTGCTGAAAGCTCTTAGCGAAATGCTTGTCTCAGACCTGGAAAGCCGCTTTCATTGCCGTCAGCCGATCTCCCATGGCTCCCGTGGAGGGCTTGTAGGCCTCATAGTTGCTCATTACATTGTTGTTGTTCCCTCGATCCTAAAAAATAAGGGCACCCATGAAGATGGATGAAAAGTAGGAAAAGCCCCTCACTACAGACTGGGTCTTAACATACAGAAAGCTAGAGTGGGAATGGGGATGCGGTATTTTTAGAAAGTTACTTCTGTTTTGTGAGAAAAAGGTGCTGAAATGAAGAATCATTTTAAAATGCTATGCTTTTCAATCCAGTACTTCTATTTCTGGGAACTAACCCTAATAAGCAGAAATGAGGTCAGATAATACCCAAAGCTGATTATGTGGTACTACTTATACAGGCAAACATGAACATGTTTATGTAATTATGTAAAAATTATAGCAAAGATGAAAAGGCCACAAGATAGTAGAGCACGTGCATGACTGTTCAGGCTTTGAATCCAGACCCGTAGGGGTCTGTGGGGACCCAGACCTTAGGGACTCGGCTTCAGTGACCAGTGTGGAACCTCGGGTGCCTCAGTTGTACTGTCTGTACTTACTCTCACCGACAGGTTGAGAAGACTGAGGCAACACAGTGCCTGCTTGGAACAGCCTGGGCACAGATAAGTGCTCGAACCGAGCTACTGCTATCATCTACACCATCTGCATCATCATCGACGTAACGTGGGAACAGATTATTTATCAAAGACACTAAATTAACTACACTGCTCCAGAAATGTAGACTTGAGTTAGGAATCAGGAGTAATAGGAAATAGGCAGTTAAGACAACCAGTCAGGGGAAGCTTTTGTTACACGGTTTGTGAGAGAAGCTGTCGCTCGTCTCTCTGATGAAACTGCCCAGTTTAATGCAGTTAAAAGATATTGCTAGAATTTACACAGTGATACTTTGGCGATGTCTTTCCAGCAGCAGCCTCTAGGCCAGTCTTGGTAACAGGCTACTAGGACCCACCTCCAGAGATTCTGGTTCACCAGGTCTGCAGTGGGGCATAAGGGTGCATTTGCAGCTGGTCCAGAATCACAGCTTGAGAACCACTGCTAACCTAGACTGATTTCCTAAGCACACATTTCTTTTCCTAAGTACACATAGGTGCTTCGTCAATAGTCACAACACTAGAAACTAGCATTAAGATGGACTTAAACTAGCAGATTAAACAAAAGCTCCCTTCTAGACAGAATTCTGAACTCACTGCGAGTTTCTCAGATAACAGTCCTAGCATCGCCCAGGACTTGGGACCACCTTATGGACACTACTGTAGTGTGGACTCACCGTGTTTTCTGAGCCCAGGCCAGGCCGCTCCCTGTAGCCCAGGCCTCCTCCACCAATATTCAGCTTCTTGCCTTTCCCTCCTTTGAAACGGGATTTTCGAAACCAGGCATTCTGCATTAAACACAATTCAAGGTGAAGCCAAGGTATGGAGAGGGGTCCAGAGGAAAAGAAAACTAAGTGGGAGAGAACTTTCTGCTTAATCTTTAGCCAATGTATTTATGGCAAGAGAACTGCTTATAAGAACCACAGATTCAATTCTTTGGTTGTTTAATGAACCAGTTTATCAGGAGACTTAGACTCTTATCTAAGGCTTCCTTTACTGCTTCTTCCCCCAGGCCTCCAGGAAGTGAAGTGGTTATTCTGGCCACTTTTAACTTCCTTGAGGAATATACATTTATTTTCTATTCTTCAAAAAATCTATACACACCACTGGACATAAAAATTCAAAGCTTTTACAGAATTAGTGGGTTCAGAAGTAAAGGAAAAAAACCTATGTGAAGTAAGGTTTATTAGAATTCACTCTAGGGGCAGAGGTCCAGGACTGGTAGACACATAAAAAAATAAAATAAAATTTTATTTACCCACAGAACCTAAAAGTTTTCATTGAATTTGGTCACTGCCAGAATACTACGGATCAGATTTATTCACATTCTCTTCAGAATGCAAACATCTCTGGGGGAGGCAAGAACTTTATCTGACAACCGCACAGGACAAAGTTCTTGAAAGGCAGGGCAGGCTCAAGAAAGGTGCTGATGAGAGAAGCCAATCAGTCTCAGAGCACAGGAATCCAGAGGCACAGAATGAGATGAAAAAAATGCCAAAGACAAAACGTACCTTGTTCAAAATTTCAGTTCAGGACTGGCTTTCTACACGCATGAAAGGGAAGGACACATCATTCTGCTCTTAAGCAATCCAGGTCCTTTACCCCCAGGACCTGTAGCACATGCAGCAGCGCGCGACAACTGCATCACAGGTTAACGGTGCTGTGAGCTAGCCTATCTGAAAACACCTGCCATGAAAAGTCTCTGCCATGAAAATGTGTATCTCGAACACATCTGTAATTTGGGGACTGCATGTATTAACACCACTCAAGGCTTACTTTGGTAGAATGCATCACTCAGCTTTGGAATGGTAATCAATGGAGTCCAAATCTGAAATCTGAGTCTACAGGGAAAAGTTA